TCACTCCATCTAGTGGGGGGACGCCCTACACTTCGTCCGCCGGTAGCCGCCGAGGCCGCCACTTGAGAAACTTTTTTCCCCATCAGTTGTCAGTTCTTCGAACTATATGGCTGGCCCATTGCCACTTCAGCTTACTAATAATTTGGGCTATGTCAGTAACTCTGGTTCTACTGAGGATATCCTCATTTCTAAGTCTATCACGCAGAGAAACCCCGAGCATAGCCCTCTCCATAGCTCGCTGAGCGATTTGAGCTTCCTCATACGGCCAGCAGTGAAGGACCACGTTTCAGTTCCATAGATCATCACTGGCAACACGCACTGGTTGTACAGTGCACTTTTTAAGTTTTGAGGTATATCTGATGAGAAGATATGCCGTAATTTCCCGAACGCTGCCCAGCCGAGTTGACTCCGTTGATTGACCTCTCGGTCAAAGTTGGACTTACCTAGTCGGACTATTTGTACCAGGTAAACATACTCGTCTACAACTTCGAGCTTAGTGTCCCCAATAATTACCGGCATAGGTGTGGCAATAGGCCAGCGGCATGGACGTTACACATGACTTTTGTTTTGTCCATGTTCATCTTAAGACTTATCCGTTGGGAGACACTATTGAGGTAATTGAGCATAGTGCTTAGGTCCTCCAGCGATTCTGCCATAATAACTATATCGTCGGCATATGGAAAGTGAGTGATGTACTCGCCATTGATGTTAATACCTTTCCAGTCCAGTAGCTTCCAATGCAGCGGTGAAGAGTGTCGGGGATATAACGTCACCCTGTCTTAAACCTCTCTGCAGTTGGATAGATTTCGTACTCTGGTTCTGTACTCGGGTAGCCATCGTAGCCCTACTGTACAAACACTTCAGCACTTCGATATACCGACAGTCAACTTGGCACCGCTGAAGGGACTGTAACACCGCCTATATTTTAACGGCATCAAAGGATTTGTCATAGTCCACATACGCAAGGTAAAGTGGCAGATTGTACTCATCGGACTTTGGTACAATTTGCCGAAGGGTATTCATGTGGTCTATGGTGCTAAAATCTTTTCGGAAACCGGCTTGTTCGAGAGGTTGGAAGTCGTCAAGTCTGCGTGGGAGACGATTCATAATGACTCTCGAAAACAGCACGTAGACGCGGCTCAGAAGGGAAATCGGTCCGTAGTTCTTCAAGAGAGCGTTGCCGCATTTCTTGAAGAACAAGACCAACGTACTTCTGCTCCACGCCTCCGGTGTAGTGCCACCACGGAGGACGGAATTAAAGAGCTTCTAAAGGACTTTAATTACCGGTTTTCCACCCGCTTTCAGAAGCTCCACTGTAATTCCATCCTCGCCTGGGGCCTTACCGTTTTTAAGGTGCTGGAGAGCCATTCTAATCTCGCTCAGACTGACGTCCGGAATATCATCGGACTTGCTTTTGGATAACGAACTATGGGCATCTGTACACATCATCGTTGGAGCCACACGCAAGTATGAGTAACGACTCACACTTGCGTGTGGCTTCAACGATGATGTGAACAGCTGCCCATAGAACCTCTCAATCTCATGCTGATTTATGCTGATGCTGATTAGATTTGATGCGGGATGGTAATATAAAAAGTAAAGATGTGAGGCCTGCAACATATTGTTATTTTTAATTTTCAACTATTTTTTAGAGACTTAAAGCGATAATTTTTAATGACTTTTCTCACATAATTGTAAACATTATGTTTTAATACAACATTCATTAATTGATTATCATATAACGCATATAACTGTTGCGTACAAAATTTATAACAACGTATCCTATAACTACACAGTTAAATATGGGGACCAGCCCCCGTCACATTATCTCACAATTTTCTCCAACAATCATCATGTATAACATACATACTCTTAGATAAAACATGAAAATAATAATTTAGGACTGGGTTAGGTTATAACGTTATTTCGCCGACACTATGGAAGCCATTTATATTTGTGCTTTAAATCGCAACAAATTAAAAAAAATACCACTTAAACCTTATAAAGAAAGTCGGCTAAGTAAATCCGGAGTTTTGAAATAAATCAACTAATAAAAATTGAGCTATACAGCAACGTCATAATACTATATTCTATTAAATATTGGCATTATAACTTAGCTAGTGGTTTAAGGTGCGTATTTGTTATTTTCATTGAAAAACGCCATTGATATATATAATATGAGATTGAACACACTGATCTACAATAAGATATTCTTAATATTAAATTTACCACACATCAAAAACATTGGTAGATATACATGTATAATAGAATGTAAGTAAAAAGTGTACAAATATCGAAGTATTTCATAATTTTTAGACCGTTAATGTATCGACATTGAGCACGAGGAAGCGTATTCATAAAATTTTTATAACCATTCATATTTAATGAACTACACAATAAACCTTACTTATCATACCAGCGTCATAAAGACGAATGCACATACTTGTATTATACCAACCTTACTAAGAAAACCTTCCATAGACAATCAATATATCTTATTCGAATACAATAATTTATTAATAGGTACATAAAACAGTGAAGCGACAGTATATAGAATATTTATTTACATAAAAAAGTTGACAGTATTTATTTTTAAGTACAAAATGTATATAAATACACATCCAAAGGAACATAGCAAAGTGAATTTGGAGGTCAACAACACTGTCCAAGGAGTTAAGATTTAAATTTCAAAAATTTGAATGTTGATATGACTCGGCCGAAACATTCGGTAAATAGTAACTATAAAAGTTATTATAAAAATAGGAATTCTTTGAAAGCTCAAGTGTAAACGTGGACCAATTTATTTAGTTTTGAGTAAAACGAACGACACTTTGTTTGCTGTATCACATAAGGCTATTAAAGAAAACGTGTGTGTGTGTGTGTGTGTGTGTACTTATGTACGCAAGTAAGAAATTATACTTCTTTAGCGTAACACAACAAAAATAACTAAAACAAAAAACATTTTATAGATTCATATATATTAAAATAACTACCTTGAATATAGTTATCACTTTTCATGAAAACTTGTCAGTTGACAGACAATAACAAACTGAAGTTGTCGCTTTTAGGTTTCGGTGTGCGCGCGCATCGTAACAACTTCATGGTGTCTTTTTTAGGTGTCGGTGTGCGCGCGCATCGTAAAAAACTCACTCTCATTATTTTTCTCAAACTTGCTAAAAGAAGTATAACTTCAAAAATATCTGTGTGTATCTATTAAATAGTTCTGTCATGGAGTGCGATGAGAGACGAAGATGTCTTAAGTTGGCTTTTTCAACTGCCCATTCATTTTCGATATGGCACTCTTATCACTGATTCTAAAGGACATTATTACGAGTTTACCTACACAATGAAATAAATACCCGTTTTATGGCATCTATATTAACACTTTTGCCTTCATTTCTTTAATATTTCCTTTCAAGGGACGTAATTTATCGTTTTAATATGTGATTAAGTACGGCTTGAAGCCGAAGTGTGGGTAAGCCAGAAATAGGTGCAACCAATTGCGTGTGGCTAAACTTAGGTGTACTCTTATATTTGTCAAAAATACGAAAGCACATATCAAGTAATCAGCGACAATAGGTACGGCTGGGCTGGCCCTTGGGCCTAACCCTCTGTACCCGCAGAATAAATCATCGTAGAATAAATCACTTAAATTTGCTGCTGGTGACAAGAGGGCTGGTTCTTTCCTCGCTCAAAGGCTAAGTTAGCCATTCAGCGGGGAAACGCAGCCAGCGTTCTTGGCACGATGCCGCGGGGAGTAGGACTATATGATAATTAAGTTTCTAGTTTTAGTTTTTTTTTTAATTATTATAGTTTTTAATACAGAATAAAATTACAACAAATCAGTTCTCTTAAATTGAACCAGCCGTAATCGGTAAATCTAGGTGTATCCGCACTTCGGTTTTAGTCGTAACAATTACATTATAAATATCTATGAAAACCTTGGATATAATTACGAACCAATGTCACAATGAAAATATAAATAGTTAAATATTCTCTAACGCTATGAATAAGTAGATACGAACAATAATAAAGTGTAATGTTAACTAAGCTAACACGGTTATAATTACTATAAAATAAGCGTATTATCGGACATGTCCGTTAGGCACCGTCTGTGCCTATGATCCATTTCAGACTTTTATCTTTGACACCCAAGTACATACCATGCCTTATATTTTTTTCAAATCTATGCCCACTAATTCATATGTATTAAAATGAATTTGTATGAAACGAATTTAAAAAGGTGTATTCCCGTTTAACAGATCGGTGTGAAATATGTGCGACAAGTTTGTGGACCGTTTTTTTTTTGGAATGCAATTTGAACCAAACATATAGTATTAAAAAAATGATGTTTAACATATTAATAGTAGTGCGGAAGCTATATACAAGCGTCTCGCAAAGCATGCGCCGACGCGCGGGGTTCACCTAAAGTACCATCAGAGATAAAGAAAAAACTTGATATTTAGTACTACCAACGCGATATTTAGTACTACGCCCGTGAATTATCGATGTAAGAATATCCTCCAGCCTTTAACGTTCTATGTGTGTCGCAAGAGGCGACAAAGGGAAATAAACCACTCAACAAAAAACTAAAAGTTTTGCGGCTGCCAAGCCGAATGCCAAGAAACTATGGCAAATATCCCCTCTATGAGGCAATCTATGGGGGAGACCTTTGTTCAGCAGTGAACTTTTAGGCTGTAAAGGTAACGGTAGTACTATCGATGTAGGTAGTAGAAGAACTGTAGGTGAACTTTGCGCTTGTGTGCGTGCGATACGAGACTCTTGTATGAAACTTCCATACTCTCCTTTACTCTGGTGTTACTATAAAAAATTATCGCTTTACTTTATTTTCTAAGTAATATGCATTTCTTTGAAATATTTCCAAACCAAACTTGATATATAATGTGCATAAACTTTTGTAAATTGAAGTGGTTACACATTTATTAGGCGAGTAGCTCACTTGTCTTAGGTACTTTGGCTGTGGGTTGTCTATCGGTGGCTCACTCTTCAGCAGTGGGCTCTGTGGTAGAAGTGGGAGGTGCTTGTATCGCTTGCTGCCGCTGAGCTCGCTTTACATCTGCGAGCGAACTGACACCGGCCTCGTCAAGCTCACGCCAACGGGTGTGGTTGTTCCGGGCGTGATTCACCAGTTCCGGCATGTCGATGAATGCTGTAAAAATTTACAATAATAAAATAATTTTGTTTCACTTTATTACATTATAGAAATACAAACTATAAACATCGGATCATTGAGTCCTGTAATCTCCAACATACTTTAAGCGTGAAGATAATGGATTTTTTTTAATTCATTTTTTTTCAATTCTTTTTTAATTTTTAACTAATAATTCTCTTAAAAGAGCAAACACATAGCTTAGGCTTAAGCTTAGTTCAATTTATTTTAATAACATGTACCTATTTACTCGCATGTAGGTACTTATAACAGAATCCAACTAGTATATTGTGACGTCACATCTGTCAAAGTATTGGTCTATATTCTGTGATGTTAGTGCTGTCAGCCAGTTGTCTTATACACCTTCATCGGACTTAGGCCTCGGTCCTTGCAAGGATAGGTCCTTTTGGCTTAATAATCACTTTACACAATCTTTAGTTACAAATTCACTAGATGCACGACACAACGCCATTGCACTAAATGACAAAGAAACCATGATAAAAAGTCAAAGATGGCGATGACTTCAAATTAATAAATGAAGCATCATTAAACCTACTGGTGCTTCATTTATTAAATGTCGTATCGTATATATTGGATACGATACGACATTTGTTAAGGCTAAGAAATGCGAAACTTGTTTTTGTTGTGTAGCGGCGCCGTGTAGTAGCGGCGCTGGAGGATCCACTTACACCCTATATATTTCCGTAGGTGTTGTAAGTGGTGACAGAGGGAAATAAAACATGAGATGGGCATCAGCATCTCCCTAATAACAATAAAAAAAAATAAAAAAATAGTCTATGGTCAACACGTCTGTTACGCGTGGCAACCTGGCAACTAAGCAAAATATCCGCCCTGTGAAAAAATCCATGGTTTATGTTCAACAGTTGGATTTTTGACAGATTGTAGGTAGGTCCGTACTTTGTTGTGTATCGTGTATAAAGCCGCGTATCCACCAAAAGTGTTGACAACATTTATGTTTCCAACTGTTTACAACTCAACAAAAGTTACCGACATTTGTTTCCGATGTTGCCGACAAATGTTTCCAACAAGCGTCTCCACCGAGGGAACAAATGCTTGCAACAAGCGTATTCCTTTGATGTTGCCGCCGAAAATGGAAACACGGTTCCCGACATTGTTTTAAGTTTTGTTGCCAACACTAGGTAATTACAGAAACATTTGTTACCAACACGTGTTGGCAACACAACAGTTGGTAACAAAACTTTGGTGGAGACGCGGCTTAATACAGTTGTAAAACACTCCTAGCACAAATATTTAAATTTTAGTAAGAGCAGTTAATGGGATTATTAGTACCTAGTGTTAATACTCGTAACATTGTTGATATTCTTTATTCTGTTTCACGATGAAGGTTTGACTTTGGTAGTTGTTAGCGCTCCCGAGGCCTACGCACACTAACTCAATGTGTATGTACACGGCTAACCTTCAAAGTCAAACCTTCATCGTGAAATAGAATAACTATAATTAAAAAGGGTATGTGACGGTACATGTGATTAATAGGACATTATTAATAATGGCAGAGTAGTATAAAAATGTCCTTTAAGAGAGGGCAAAATGGCAAGAACTATTGAAAGTATGGATTGAACAAGGCTCTATGAAAAATGCATGTAAAAGTCTGTTTTGAAAAAAGTCATGTCTATGATGCAGGTGCGACAATGAGCGCACCAAGGAGTTTTCGTTTATTAGTGACCACCAGAAGAAGAATTTTTAGGTATTTCTTAGTGTTTTGTCACTAGGTTAGGTTACGTTACAACTGTTATGAATTACGAGTAAATAAAAGTAAGTTATATTATTTACTTAATAATTCCTCAAAACCACATAACCCGATTTGACTTCTTTTTATCCATAATGCTCGGCCAATGTACATAATGCTCTCATTACACGAGTTAGATTAGATGAAGCACGATCTACAAATAAACCTTGTTAGCTTTTTGAGACACTGTGTCTATATAATTTAAGTTGTTTGTATTTCATTTATATGATAATAATAAAAAATAAAATAAAAATCAATTGTCACTTGGTATACTAACCAGCCCAGGCCTCCATCATATCGATAATGATGTAGTCAATAAAGCCGATCTGTGAGCGCGGCACGGAGCACGTGGCGCGGTCGAACATCGGCATCACCACCGGCAGTTCGCGCGCCTTCTCCTCGTCCGTTTGGAGGAAGTATTCCTCCGCGATCCTGCACACATTTATACAGGGTTATTTTTCAAAGAGTAGCCAAATTTTATACTTAAGGTCAAATACATAAATAATGATATAACGTTACTGCAGTTTATGAAAATACCAGCAAATAAGGCTTCTACTTTTTTTTATTATCCAAAATTGAATGTGATTTATGGGTAAAAACTACGCGTACGGACGCTCCTATGTGTGCGATTCAATTCAAAACGTTTTTGCCGCACGATCAACCTTTACGAATGTGTGCGTGCGTAGTAAAATATTAGACGTTAGATATTTATGAATGACAATCAGTTAAAATAATGCGCAAATTCTGAATTTAAAAGATAAAAAGGACAGAATGTTGGAAATGTTATTAAATCAATTTTTCTGCAGCCTTCGTCTATATTACTTATTCAGAACCTTCTCTGCAAATTTGGCTGGTTATTGCAAAATAACCCTGTATAACTAAATCTTGTATGGCTAAATACTCAAACTCTACTCAATTTAAAGACGTCGTTAATACACGTGTTGTCTCTGTCACTTTAAATTTGACTTAAAGTCACAGAGACAGCACGAAACAGCATCTTAATATTGAGCAGCATATTTAAGCACTAACCAAATATTATATATAGAACACCGGTTATGACGCTAGACTTCTTAAATGGATCCTGTAAAGGGTGCGAGTAATCCTAGTTCTGCTATGTGGATTCGGCATAAGAGAATCGATCAACCTTTTTGTTCCGTGGCTTTCGTAAGAGGTGACTAAGGACAAGGTTAGAAATACCTCATGGCTTTCAATAGACGATGATTTATCTTCACGGATAAACCAGATGTAAAATAGCCTGGCCGGGGATAGGTAGAAGCGTCAAAGTTGCGAAGGTACTCCGTTCGCCTGCATTGACTGTTCGATCGTTCGGTCGTAAGCTTGGTTGAAGATCATGTGGTCCCGTGTTCGAATCCCGTGGTCCCGTGTTCGAATCCCGGAATGGGTTAACATCTGTTGTCTGGTTTTTCTGTAGAAAGATTTTCAATGGCAGCCCGAAGTCAGAAAGTTGGTGTTGTCTCAGCCATGTGCTTTGAAAACCACGTAAAGCCATTGGTCTTGCGTCTGACCTCTTTCCGGACATGTCGGATTGCCGTCCCGTCAGATTATGAGAGTGAGGAAATAGAAAGTACACCTGTGCTTGCGCATATACTATTATCTCTCCATTAAGATTCCATTGAGACTAGTCGTCGTGTCTGAAATTAGGTCTCGCCTTATTTCATATTCGCCAATCCGTCTGCCAAGGACGATCGAGACAAATCCTTTCCACAATAGAAGAGACCCATGTCCAGCATCGCACTGTTAGGGGCTGGTAATGAAGAAGAAAAATAATCCGAGTTAGATTAAGGTCAGCGCCACAACGAGTGGATCGGTTTTGCATTCGCTACATTTAAGACTTTTTTTATGTTTTAACCTTTTTTACTTACAATAGATAACCGGCCAAGTTTTGAGCCAGTGTAAAAAAGTATAAATATCAAATTATTTCGTGTATTAATTTAATAATGATGGTGAGTACAACCAAATTTATGTCTATACGATTGTCATCTTTTTATTAGTGATGGTGAGTACAGCCCAATTTAGGACTACGATATTATTATACTTTGATCTGGTTGAGCTATAAAAAAATATTGTAATTTTTTACGACTCTACGTCTACTTGTACGGTGTAGTGGACGTAGAATGGACAAGTCGTAACTACTAGAGTTGTAGACTTTTAAGACACCGTCACTAGGTGATTATCATTTTTTGTTAAAATAAAACTTATGTAATTTCTTTGATTCTTAATTAATAATATCTTACCTGTCTAGTAAATCACTTAAAATTCATTTAGATATGATTGTGTTACCTTCTTGCCCATTCAAAAGCGAATTTCTGTGGCCGGGAAGCGTTGGAAACGTCAGCACATTTGATCATCATCCTTTTAACTAGAATCACATTTTCTGGTAGCGACAATGCCGTAGTGTCCAATGATAATGGCTCCTGTGGGGGAAAATGGTTTATAAATTAGAAGACTTAAGTAATTTTTGATAAATCATTGTAGTAACAAACGAGCTTGCAGGCCTTCTAGATTATTCTATTATATTCTATAAACCACAGATATCTGCAATTTCAGAGAAGGAAACCCATGAGGGCTGGGATTTAATTCCTCACGGCCTGTAATAATGAGTGCTACTTCGACTTTTCTGCCACCACAGCAGCGCCATTCTACAATGAGGTTAAATATTTGATAGATTTCATAGGGGAAGATAATTTCTTAGAAAAATGTAAAGGTTAATGTTTTTTTTGTATAGTTAGTTGTGTTTTATATTATTTAGATTAGAAATATATAAACCACTTTTAGTTACGTTTATAGTTATAAATACGTTTTTACTTTTAGTTATATTTATAGTTATAAATATAACTAAAAGTAGAAAAATAAAAAAGATCAAATCACTGACGCATTGTGTTGTGTATTAATATTGTACTCTAGATAACTTAGCGGTGAGCCACCGTAGAGTCTATATCACCTGAGGATGCCTCGTGTAAAGCGAAACACGTGTCGTATTATCGTCAGTGGTGTGTCTTGCCTAATGTAGTGGTGTTGGGAGTAGCGGTGCTGGGATTAGTGGTGACGGGGATAGTGCACGCAATTGAGGGAGGGCGGGAGGTGCTCTTCATACTAGGTAAGACACATCATTTTATTTTATAACGCGGATATTTGCGAAGTAAATTTTTCTAAAAAGCTTTTATATGATGGATTTCCGCAAAGTAACGCCTGATTCTATTAATTATATTATTTAAAACTAATTTCTCAATTAACTGACACTGTGTAACAAAAAAAACCCTAATGTGGGGGAAACCTCACCTCAGTCACAACTAGCGACATCTGGTGAGTGGAAGATTATTAACCCTTATAGCCTTATAGCCGTCCACACTATTAAAAAACACCAAATAGTGAATGCATTATTGCTTACCTCAGATGAGCTTCCACCATTATTAATATTCCAAGATTTATCATATCTAACATGTTATAATGCTACCCTCCGCTTATAATCCGGATAGTTATTGGATATATCTATCTATTGCCAATCGAAGATGAATTAATTTTTGATATAGAACTCTGTTTTTATTCACCCCAATAGAAGGTCGCCAAAAAATCAAATTTTGAAAACAATACTTACATCAATTTGCATTCCGTCCTCTTTGCTGCCACTACCCTTAGCATAGAAGACGTTGACGAACTTAGCGAGATGCTCGAAGTGTTTGGTCATCTCGGTGGCGAGGATCATGTCGATTACGTTGTGCCGAACTGTCTTGTACGTTTCGCGGTCGAGATTCTTGAAAATGTTTACTCGGTCGTCATCTGTGGTAAATTTCATATGTTCAAGATACTTATTAAATTTCTAGGAGACGGCCTAAAAAAATTACAATGTCATAATATTTGGATTAGCTTTAGTTATACATAACACAGATATCACGGTACATCAGCACGTATTCTTAAGTATGTATAGTAAGAAAAAAAAAATTATTTGGAATTTTTTTTTTATATCTGAAGGTCAAATCGGCGCGGTGTTTCTCTTATCACCTTTTTTATTTACCTACATAAAACACAAAGAGCAATGGCAGACTTTCATACATAAAATTAGTTGAGAAGAAATGGTAGCGTCTATATACCAAAAATATCTTAAAATGTTAAGCGTCAGTCCCTTAATAACTCTGTCAAAGAATTTTGTACTGAGAAGGCGTCAAAAAAAAGATATTTACATTTGAACCTTTTTAGGTTATGTCCTATGTCACTTGGAAAAAGTCATGCTTCCTGTGGTTGTTTGATGTTAGCTTAATACATAATACATAATTGAGAGTTTTTAGATTATTGTATCTCTATTATATATTTGCATACTATAAATGTAATATTTCTGGCATGGCTCCAGGGCTTTTGTACCATAGTGACATTCTCAGAAGGGCTAGAACCCAGAGCCGTTAAGCCAGTAAAAAAAACAGAGACATTTTATTTTAGCTAGTGTTGGCATAACATTAAATGGAATTGTTACATAGTACTATGATTGAGATAATGTATTATTGTAGGAAATTCGTTGTAAGAGACTTATTCTCAGCCATATTACTTTTATTTTTGTTATTACTGATAGTACAGTTATTACTAATAATAACTTAATATAAAAATATTTTGTGTGTTGTATTGGTAGTGTTACATAGTGTATACGAAAATAGTAGGAATATACTAAATGGCAACATTTGAATAGAGTAAAATGATTTCAGTGGAGTTTTGGCGGGAAATTGTCCGGCGGCGGTTTGCTGCTCCTGTATTATTGTTTAAATAATGGTTTGAAGTGGACTTTGATATGTAAAAGTGTTGCGATTTTGTGTATTAAGTGTCTACGCATGTGAACTATTAGTGGAAACAGTGAAACAAGTGCTCTGATGGTGATGGATTCTCAAGATAAGCTGTTTGTTTGCATAGGCACCTTTAGATACCATCGCCAACTATCAGCTGTCTGCTGGATCAAGTTGCCGCCAAAATCTCCCAAGAACTGCACAATGTGACGCATCAACATATTGTGAAGCAGTATACTATGAAGGAGTGGGGAAATTACAATAAACCGAATAAAAATACTTAAGACTTGGCCTAAAGGTCTAGATACCAGGCCATAAACTCCAAAAAAAAAATGATTTCAGTCATTTGATATTCCCAAAAATGTTTGTTTTTTTCTGTGGCTTTAATTAAAATACATTTTTATTTGAAAAATCATAGAAAAATAATAAAACTCATTTTATATATAACTTATTTCTAGACGCTATAATTTTTGTCAACTATTTTTCTGCCATTGCTCTTTACCTACTTTTTACTGATAGCGTATAATACTGACTCTGTACTTTTACAATAGCCCTATAAAATTTCAGCCAGACCCATGAATTCGGTTTATATTTTCTTTATTCCAATTATCTTTATTATCATTTGTTCCCCACATTAGGATTTTCTCCTGAATAGTGAGGGCAGTTTGCAAACATAAATTGCACAAGAACAAACATCCAGACCCAGAACAATTATTTACCAATTTTTTTAGACCACACAAATACTTGTTCCGTACGAGATTCGAACCCGCGGTCCCCAGCGCAGCAACTCATTGCTAAGTCACTGCAGTACGGAGCCGTCAACGACATCAAAAAATGATTTTACAACCACGTAATGGCAGTGTGATTGACAAAAAGTACCCTCCATATTAGGCAATATATGGTGGAGACCGATGTTCAGCTGCAGCTGTCGACTTGCGTAGGCTGTAGTGGACGAATGAAGTACCTTTTTTTTAAATTGAGAAGGTATCAAAATAAAATACTAAAGATTGATTTGTCTTATATTCTGATGTAAGAATACGCGAATAGTGTTTTAGTGTGCATCTAGCAGTAAGATTTTACGGGCTGAAAAATAAAGAAAGAAGAAGGATGTGTGCGTGAGCGCATGTTAAAAAGTTAATCTTTTTTATTGCTCCGGTCCAGGAGTAGCAGAGTAGCCAGGTATAATAACGATTAGGTCACGCAGGCAACGTCCAAGTTTGTTTTTATATTTCTATAACATTAAAGTGAGCTAACGGAACATCTAATGTTAGGTGGCCACTGCAGCCCATGAACATCTACATATTTACTTCAAACATTCTCTGTTTATTCTGGCTACAGCGTCACGTCTGACACCTCTCCTAGCAGTGGATGGCTTGTTGTTCAATAGCAGTTGTAGGTAAGAGGTGGTAGCTAACCATATATTCCAGAAAAGGATACTTTTACTTCTACTTTTGTTACTATTTGCATACTTACTGAGCGTCAGTTTGAAGGTGAGCGCAGCATGGTGAGACTCAAGTACGCAGACGTCGTTGTAGAGGATTGCGAGAGGATGTCGCGCGTTACAGAGGAAGGCAGACGACGTCCCAGGGTGGTCGATGTCATGTGCAGCTGCTGCGATAAGAGCCGCAGCCGCCTCCAGTGGCTCCAGAAGCGTCTTCAGACGATCTTTTTCAAGGAAGTAAGCTACCGCCTGTATAAAAATGAAATGGAAGCTTTTGAGAGTTCAGTGATAGAGAAGGTTAGTTAATGCTTGAAAAAAAATCACTAACCTACTTGAACTACAAATTCGATATAACTTAAGTATGGTGTTTATAATTTTTTTTTATAGAATGGGGTGATAAACGAGCACACAGTTCACCTGATGATGATGTGTCGCATACATTTATTTTCGCCTAAGAATCAAAATGAAGATGAGTTGTACACGTTGACCACGTCTCAGATCCATTGGTCATCAATGTAAACACGCACTAGTTCTACAATCTTGTTTTGAAGTTTTGAGGTATGCGTGACGAGTAGATGTGTCGTAATCTCCCGAACGCTGCTCAGCCGAGTCGAATCCGTCGATTGACCTCTCGGTCGAAGTTGAACTTACCTAGTCGTATTATTTGTCCCAGGTAAACATACCCCTCAACAGCTTCGAGCGTAGTGCTCCCAACAATCACCGGCATAGGTGTGCCATGGGCGTTACACATGACTCTGGAATTTGGTGATGGGATTCTTTTCCGAATGATGAAATTTGACAGCTAATGTCAAATTTTGCGAAAGCCGCCGCGGCTAAGGAACTTCTTTAGTAAAGTAACTAACTAATTACTTTGTAATAAGAATTGTTTGTAATAAGACGGTGTCCGTTTTGTACAAAACATCTCGATCTTATTAACTGAAAAACGTCATTTAGTCGTGGCGCCACAGCCAATTAACGAAATTTGAAATTTCGCTTTTCAATTTCATATACATTACTGCATTTTAGTTCGCATATTTACGCGAGTCTTCTTGTGTGAAATAGATTTTGGCTTAAACCTAAGACAAAATATAAACCATTTATTGTAATGAGGCCATATTATGTTTACATAAATATTAGCGCATCATTTGAATGTGGAATAGGGTAATTACGGAATATTGTAGAAACGTGCAAGTCGCCTGTACAACATTAAGTAAAAAGCTCAATATTTATCATATTTTTTAGGTCAGAATGACGTCGCTTAATCTGCGTGTGTACGGTTACGGTCGGACTTAGAGAAAAACGGGCTGAAGACCCGTGGTTTCCTCGAGAGCGTAGAGCCTAATAAATGACATTAATAAATAACGTAAAATTATCTAACATTATGTATGCAAACAAACAATTTTTTTTGTTCGTTGAAAAATGTTTGTGCCGCCTATATTTTTCTTCATTGCCCCAGGACGTAAGCCACTTTTTATCAGACTTTGTTTTTTATTTATTTATTACGAGTATTAACTAACATGCAGTACAGTTTAACAATAATAAGATGCCGCTTAACTCAATTGTTCATCGTGACACTGTCTTCGTGACTTGCTAAAATCGATGCCACTATTGCATGAGTGCAGGGAACCACAAAGTTATTTTCATAATTAGGCAAAAAATTACTACCTGAAGTACATCAGCAGCGTGGGTGGAATTGTGGTAGGTGTTGACGGCGTGGTAGTTCGTCTCGATGACGGTGAGCCAGTGCAGCAGCGTGCGCTCGTCGCATTCGAGCGTGGCGCACACGTCGAAGCGACCGCCCATCAGCGCCAGCCCCAAGTGGGCCAACGGACGGCCTCGTGTCAACTCTTCTAGGCGGAAGATTTCGAACTCCCAGCTCAGAGCCGTGTCCAGGAGCTCTCTGAGCTGACCTGATGTCTATAAAAAATTAAAACCACATGCGATGATTTTATAAAAAAAACAACGCTTTCTTGCAAAATTTTGAATTCAAGTCATTATTTGAGTGAATGTATGATATAATTTTGCCAAATTTCAATAACCTACGTGCAAGTCTCTGAAGAATAAAATATAACACAAGGGAGGTTAGATATTTAATAAATGTAACGTTTTTGTGAAAAAACAAAAACATTAACATTTTATTTTACGCCTGTTATCCCCGAGGGAGTAGGCAGAGTCTAAAGAGCAGTGAGCTACAAGGACCGTGTTAGCCATAAAATATAGGTTTGGATAGAAAATTGTGAAATAATTGCTAGTTGCTTTTCAGACATGCTAGGCATGTAACACCGTCGGCACATTATTTTTGTTATAAGTTCCACATAAACATAGGATTTATACCACAATAATAATAATCTATTTAAATGCTCACAAAGTTTTTTGGAACGAAGTTCCTTATCAAACGGAACGGGCTTGGCGGATGGGAGCTAGGCGACAAAAAGTAAGATTTTTTCGTCACTACCCATCATTTTAATAGACGCTAGTAATACATTTATTTGTATTTGCTAATCAATAATATAATACGTTTATCAATAATAAGGAACTTCGTTCCAACCGAGTGTTCCACGACACTCACTGAAATGCAATACATTATTTTAACTGATTTTACTGCGCACACACACATTCGTAAGGGTCGATCGGTAGGCAAAAAGTTTGTTACTCATAAATCACATTAAAGGGATAATTTCAAATAAAATTAAAAGCCTTATTTACTCGTATTTTCAAAAACTGCAACAACGGTATATCATTATTTATATATTTGAACTTAAGTTTAAAATTTGGCTACTCTTTGAAAAATAACCCTGTATATTTGTAATTTTAAGTATATATGTACTAGGGGCGTTTAATAAAAAGTGAGAATGTGTTACCGTTACCGTCTATCAACAGTCCACTGATGAACATAGGCCTCCCCTATAGATTGCCCCTCATAAGAGACACTTTTGAGGTAGAGCCATGCTGCAGCTATATTAGTGGTATAGTTGTAGCACGAATGGGTCGGCTCGACCAGGGAAGGACCACGCTCTCACAGAATACCAGCGTAAAACAGTAGCTTAAAACTACTGTGTTTCCTATGGTGAGTGTAGAGAACCGGAGACCCTTTTTACTGGAAAAGAGGCATTCCATCTTAGTCCTCACGGATGACAACGCATCTGCATTTTGATTCGGAAACGAGGATAGATGTAGATGTTTATGGGCCATAGCCACCACTTACCAGGTCTTATTAGGTGGACTGTGTGATCGTTTGTCACCCTATCCTATAAAAAAAGACATATTTGCCATTGTGGCCACGTCTGGCAGGCGAGATAATAACCGCAGTTTTTTATAATAACTGCTAATTATTCTCAGACTTGTTTCCTCTGTCGTTTGTTCTGTCGCCTCTTACTTCACCTACGGGATGCTGTGGGATAGTGTATATTGTATAGTCTTACACCGCCTCTACACAAGGGGAGTATGTTACAGGTAAATTTATTTACATAAGTGTTATTTTATTAGGGCCGTAGAGTCATTCGGGGTAACTGAGCGCAGTGGGTAAGTGAGCGCAGTGAGTGTATCTCCCGAACGGAGAAGGGGGGGGAGGTTTTTGTTAAGGTCGAAAAGTGATGCCAGAGTGGCCCTGCTAGTCGCGACTTGTCTCTGTGGCGACGGTTGATGAATAAATTTTTTTTTCAGAAAAAACAGTATATGGTGTTTAAATTCGAAATTTTTTGTTTAATGGAAAACAATGTATCATCGGCGTTATCGATTTCACAACGGTAAGTTGTATTTTCTTTTTTTTTCTTTGAATAATAATATGTTTACGCTACATTTTATATCAAAAAATCATGTTTTATTTGTTTTCAATTTATTTTATGAGCTTTCAATTGCAGTTTGGTGTTCTGGGGAAAGTGTGCGCGGGTAAGTGTGCGCATGCGTACACTTGCCCCTTCGGTGTTATTTTCAGTTTCTCATCACCATACCGTGAAATTATATAAGAAAAAGACCTGAAGTTGCATCGGTCACTGAAGAACAAATCTCTAGAGCCAAAGCACTCATTGAGCATGAGCAAAAGAGCTGCCGCGAGTGCCATTGGTATTAGTGAGTATTGTATTCGAAATCGACATCATCGTCTTGAAGAGGAAGAACAAAGTTTTCTATGGCATCGACCGCTACAACAGTAGAATACTGTTGTCCTCCATGTAAGCAAAAATATACAGAGCCAAATACTGAAGAATGGAGTCAGTGCATTTATGCAAAGAATGGTGACATGAGGATGCCATCTGATGAGGATGTGTTTTTGTTTGTGATAATTGAATTGATGATCCCCAAATTAATATTGTTTCTAATAGATTACACAATCCCAAGTAAAATATGTTAATCTCTAAATATTAATAATTAAAAATTTCTATAATTTAATTTAAATAAATGTTAAGTTAAATTCATTTTATGAGATAATTGTTATTTTTATACAAAGACTAATAACTAATAAAAATATTTTCTAAGTGGTATTACAATAAAGAACCTTTATTCTTGAATATTGTGTACATTTTGATTAATCCAAGGAATGCGCTACTTACCCCATATGCGCATACTTACCCCGTACGGGTGCGCACAGTTACCCGCATCATGGGTCAAGTGAGCGCATTCCGATTTTATGTAATTAAATGCTTACAGAAAAAAAAAAACACCAAGTTTTCTATTCTTATTTTTATTTCAATTTAGAGGCTAATATGTGGTTTATCTCAGAGCCGTCTTTTATATTCCTAACTTTTTTATTTTATGCGTAGTGAACTAATATTTACCAAAGTGCGCACACTTGACCCGAATGACTCTATGCTGTAACGACAGCTGTTTCGTTATTTCTACCCTTTCAGATACTTCTTTAAATTCGGAAATAAACAGAAATTACTAGATGCTATATTTGGTTAATATGGAGGGTGCTCAAGTATTTTAAAGACAGAATCTTAATCAGCTGCAGTCGCAATGGCGAAATTGTGGCATTTCTTGGTAAAACAAAACAATCTTTGTGAGTATAAATAATAGAATAATAGTGATTATATACCGATTGACAAAAGATAGGTAATTAGTTGTTTTAGAGTATTCTAAAGATATTGCTACTTTACCAGCCAGTAATACTTTTTTTAGTTTCAAAGACTTGTACCGCATTCTCACTTTTTTGTGAATGCCCCTCGTACATTTTCTACCGACTTCCAAATAGGAGACGGTACTCAATTCGACTGTATATTTTTTTTATGTGTGTTACCTCACAACCTTTTACTGAGTTACATATGAATTTGATCAAGGTCAAACCAATAGTTTTTGAGTTATTCTTAATAACTTATATTGAAGTCGGCTGTTCAAAATTTTTAATTTTTAAATTATTGAATAAGTCAATATTACTAAAGCTTACCTTATGCTTGATATTAGTCCTATTTGTTTGAGATCTTACAATAGTTGAGTCGTTGCTGCTCCTCCGAGATGAAAGCACGTTAGTTGGTCCTTGCTAAAGAAATAAATATTAATTAGTCAATAAAAAGGCATAAAATAATGATATGATGATAAATAAAAAATTATAAGGCTATTTAGATATTATAAAGTAATTTTAAGATTAATGATAGCGTTAGATAATGTATATTTTATGAATAGCTTTAGTTTGTTGCTAGGTTTGTTAATAATAAAAATTACGTCGAGTTAAAAGACTTAGTTATATGAAAAAAATAAAATAACATGTATAATATTAATTTCGAAAGAAATAAACACATGTACTTCTACAGTAGGTAGAGGAAAGATCTTGTTTAGGCAGAGACCATTTTGTCGTGTGTGTTAATACATATCTAATCTGTTCGACTAATTGTAATAAAATATATATTTTGGGTAAATATCTTATATTTATTGAAACACAAATTACATATTAATAAATAAATAAAAAATCATAGGTCATTACTGCGTGGCTATTCAGTTAAAATGACCTCTGCTTAAAGGAGTAAGCATAGGATGCTATCATGTGTAAAGAATAAATTAATATATATCATCTAATTAGACAACACGAGAAGAATGAACAAGGACAGGCTGTGATTATTTCAAACTTCCTACCATAAAGAACAAGTTTGTGTTCACTTGCTCCCGCTTTCCACGATTGACCAGGATCATAAACAAATAAATATCAATGTTAGTTGACATATCGCAACTCTTTTTAATTATATATAAAAATAAATGCATAATTATATGTAAATAAATACACAACATTACTTGATAATATTCTGATTACATGCATAATATTAAATAAGCAACAAAAAGTTTTTGTATTTATATAAATTAATAATAGTATTCTATTAAACTATGTTCTTAAATTATTACAAATACTTTATTGTTTCTGTTTACTATTATTTTCTTATTTTTTATCGTTTTGTTAAATTATTATGTATCATTAAAATTTTTAAATTCAAAATTGCGAAAAACAATAACTTCATCGTAGGTAGATATTCAATTTTAATTTTTCCAAAACAATTTACTTGTTCACGTAATGCATAGAAAAAGAAGAGACTCACCGAAAGCAATGCTCCAATCAGGTCAGTGGCTATTGGATCTTCAGCTCTAAGCTTGGGATCTTCTTTCATCTGCGGCGAGTACAGCTCGGATGTCCTCAGCATGTCGACTGCCCTCTCGATACAAGCGACGGTAGACGGTGGAGCCCCCTCCGTAGCAGCGGACAGCAGAGATATCACCTGATATTTTTTAATTTGGATTAGAATATTTACGAGTATTCAATTTTTTCTCTTGATTTTTTACAAAGATGTGAAGTTGCAGCACAATGAACTTATTATAGAAGGTCGAATATTGAGAGTGAATTGAAAAAAATTAAAGTTCTGATATAATAATGATCATCAGTGACAATTATGGTAAATTATAAATGCTCGCTTTTATGAAAAGTTGTCAAAGTAAAATTTGGACGCATTGCAATCAGAGTTTCAATACTAGGATTCAGAATTAGACACTGGCTTCGCTGATAATATCCATATCTATACATCGATACAAATAAATAAAATTGAAGTGTCTGTTTGTAATGTCAAAATAATAGCTTTTTACTAAATGCATGTATATACGATACATATAACAAAAAAAAAAATTGTCTGTCTGTCTGTTTGTTACGGCTAATCTCCGAAACGGCTCGACCGATTTTGACGAAACTTTCATTGACAGATAGCTGATGTTATAAGGAGTAACTTAGGCTACTTTTATTATAGAAAAAGAATTAGGGTTCCGCGCAAAATAAGAAAACCATAAAGTAATAAACTGAAAGCGGACGAAGTCGCGGGGAACAGCTAGTACAAAAGTATGTTAGAAAATATTATAAAGGTAAAGATTATATTATAATTATCTTCTCAGTCGTATTAGAGAAAAAATGTTAAGACAGAGAACAGTGTGATGCATACATAATAGGCCACTATTAGCGCTATTCCCATTCTTACTCCTTTTAGCTTTCAAATAGCAGTGCTTGTACTGATGTGTTCTGGTTTCAAGGATATAGATAGAGAGCCAGTATAATTACAGGAGATACTTTCCATCTCAATCCACAGAAGTACAACGCATCGGTAGCCCTCTCTATTTGAAGGTGGCTGCAAGTGTCCAAGGACTGCCGTAGCCCTCACTATCAGGTGAACTGTAGGTTAGTTTGTCCCTTCAGTTTGATATAAAAAAAGACTATCAGTAAATAATTTATAATGAACTAACTTACAATGTTACAATCTTTGCAAACGAAGATAGATGTAGATGTCTATGGGCCACAGCAACCACTTACCATCAGGTGGACTGTGTGCTCGCTTGTCACCCTTATTGTATACAAAAAAAATCTTCAAGATACAAATTATGAGATAGGAAATTTTAGTTTTTGAAGAAAAACTTCTTTAGGCACGTTGGGCACTTTTGGGATGGGGAAATAGCGCTAAACTCACGTGACCGTCACGCTCAGGTACATACATATAATTGATGAAAGTAATGTTGAAAATCCGATTGATTAAATTTTATAAAATTGATATCTGTTTATAAATGTGTTCGTATTATATATAGTCATATTATAATAATCATTCTTTTTCATGTATAATAGCGCAATAAATGAAAATTTTATTACTATATTAATACGTTGATAAAAATAATTTTTAATAAACAATACTTCCTAAAAACAATTCCTAACATCCTAAAATAATATTTACATGTTTGTGAAGCTAAAATGTTTTCACTTCTGACGTGCAGTCCTGTGACTGACAGTTTTTTTTCTTACTATACGTTTAATTTAAATGTATTTTAATCTCCCCTACTTCATTAACAAGCATATGAATTGGAGAGAAATGTGATCAATTAATTACCTTAGTGATGGGTGCTTCAAGTGGTAGGCCTTGCAATTTAGCAAGCGAGGTCCGCCGTAGTCCGTCAGAGGCAACGGAGCGCACGTCCAGAGAGCCTCGCCTGATGGAATGGAGGGAGCCACGAGCTCGCTCTCCGTCGCCTGCGGTCCCCGGTTCACATACAAACACGACGTGCGAAGCGCCCCTAGGAAATAACACGGAACGATTATATATCTTTTTGATACAACAAGTTGAAAAAGTTAAAGAGAAGCTGTAGCTCAGTAGCTTGGCGCTCGCTGTAAATTACAAAGTACACGAGCAACCCGAGTTTAAGCCCTAAGTATACGTGGTAGAGCCATGCTGCAGCTATTTTAGTAGTATAGTTGTAGCACGAATGGGTCGGCTTGACCGGGGAAGGACCACGCTCTCACAGAATACCAGCGTAAAATAGCAGCTTTACACTGCCGTGTTTCGTATGGTGAGTGTAGAGAACCGGAGACCCATTTTACTAGAAAAGAGGCATTTCATCTTAGTCCTCATGGGTGACAACGCATCTGCATTATGATTCTTTATTGAACCCTCAATAGACAATACTCAACTTAAACAATACCCAAACAATAGACAAAACTCAATAGACCAATAGACATTGGTCACAGCAACCACTTAGCATCAGGTGTACTGTGTGTTCGTTTGTTACCCTATGCTATAAAAAAGCCCCTGGCCACAAACAATTTTATTTCAAGTGCTGATTCTGACCACGTGCACGGCGTTGCAGAACAATATCGTGAAGAAACGTGCAAGTCTGAGGAATTAAATATTTTAAGATATGTCCTCAATTGAATGTCTGAAGTCTGCCAACACGCATTGAAGCAGTGCGGCGGAGTAATTACCCCATAACCATCTAAGAAATTAGTGGAGTCTTGTGGCCAGCATTTTTAAGGACATATAAACTGTAACATTTATTTATTTTTATACAAGTATTTAGTTATTTCGCATCCATTAATTATATATTACGTTAGAATAGGGTATTATATCTATACAAATAAATAAAATTGGAGTGTCTGTTCGTAACATCAAAATAACAGCTTTTCACTAAATGCATATGAAAGTATTTATGGTACTTATAACAAAAAAACAGTTTTAAAATTTTTGTCTGTCTGTCTGTCTGTTTGTTCCGGCTAATCTCCGAAACGGCTCGACCGATTTTGATGGGACTTTCACTGGCAGACAGCTGATGTTATAATGAGTAATATAGGCTACTTTTGTTTTAGAAAAAGAATTAGGGTTCCACGCAAAAAATTAAAAACCTAAATTACACGCGGGCGAAGTCGCGGGGTAGAGCTAGTTATACAATAATGTTATTATTTACCAGTCGTACCTTTAACTTGGTATGTGTCAGGAATTCGGCTCTTTACAACAATCATTTTTAAATACAGTTACTCGTCATATACGGTCACTTCTACAACTAAGTCGAATTTTACGACAGCCTGTATATTAAAACCATTATTATATAATACATGTAATATGTACGCTTCGATAAAATATCACTAACATAAGAAAATACTATAAGACGCATTTACATTAAAAATATTTCTAGACTACTTAATGCATTGCCTTAAAAGTGTATGACTTTAATTATTGCTTTTTTATTTACATATTTCATATAGGATGGGGGTGACAAACGAGCACACAGTACACCTGATGGTAAGAGTTCGCTGTAACCCATAGACATCTACATCAATCCTGGATTACGAATCAAAATGCACATGCGTTGTCAGCCGTGAGGACTGAGATAGAATGCCTCTTTTCCAGTAAATAGGGTCTCCGGTTCTCTACATTCACCATACGAAACACAGCAGCGTCAAGCGTCGGGTGGCAATGCATCTGCATTTTGATTCGCAAACGAGGATAAATGTAGATGTCTATGGGCCACAGCAACCACTTACCATCAGGTGGACTGTGTCCTCTTTTGTCACCCTATACAATAAAAAAAAATTTACGCTGGTATTCTGTGGTCATTCTCCGGTTGAGCCGACCAATTAGTGCTACAACTATACTACTAATATAGCTGTAGCATGACTCTACCATTAAACTTCTTACATAAAAACTAAACTGCTTGAATTAAAGCAGCTTTCGAATTACGTCCGATCCTGTCTCGCTTCTTTTACGCAAACATTCTCGTCAGATAAGAATAACTTAAATTTGGTTCATCTTAAATATATCGTCAACTTGGCTGAAGAAACTCCGTCTAGTGCGTCCCATGCCGACTCTGCCACTCAGTTCTGTAGCGTTAATATGCATTGTCATTTTTCTCATACTTTATACGTGTTCGAAACTTCAAGGCAACGACATCGTATTGCAAACCATACTTTTTTCTTATCACTATCTCATCATATATCAATTTCTCACGCTAACATTCAGTCAAGCCTAAGATACTTCTTAATGGCCGCATATTTGCAGCATTAATTTTACTCTCATGCTTTTTCTGCCATCCCTAATTTTCAGTACCATACATTGAAGTAGGGGGATTAACACAGCATTGAAAATTGCTATACATGCCTCATTTGACACATTTTGAAATTAAATTACAAAAAACAAATTAAAATAATTTAAAAACTTCTGGTAAAGAAATAAACACTTTTTCATTTTATTTTTTATTCACAATAGAGTGTAGAGTCACATTCGCTCTGTGATCTGCGTTCACTCTTCGTTCCTTATATATCCTTTTCAAGTCTACCGTCCCTGCTACACTCACAGACTAAATACACAAACTCATCCATACCTACCGTTTTTTACCTTGTTCTCATTCAAAAATATCACTTTTTAAGTTAAAAGTGATGTTTTTTGCGTCGAGTTTGCGTTCCGATTCACTTTCAACAGTGTGCGTGATATTGTTATTTAGTTTATTTGATCACCCGGATTTACGCGTAAACATGTAAAAAATGTATTAACCTTGCGAGAGCGACAGTGGAGCCCCGGCACGGTAACAGAATAGGATCGGGAGCTGCTCGCCGACGCAACAGGACTGGTGCCTCCCAGTCTCGTGCTCCGCTTGCCGCTAATCGAAGAGCTTCTCCCCCTACCGTCTCGGTAAGGGATCGCGGTCCTTCATCTGTACGCCAGCCAAGCATGCGACTCCAGGACTTGTTGGTAAACTGAAAGAAGTTCTTCATTAAAGAACCTAAATTATTACGAGTTTTCTTTTTAATTAATACTTTTATTTTACTTAAAAAAAGTTACCCTAAGTTTTTCATCAGTGATCTGCCGAGCCTTCAAAGTTATGTTGATATTCTTATAATTCTATAGTTTTTCTTCTTTAACAGTCTCTCTTAGTCCATCGCTGGTAATAAACCTTTTTAAATATGCTCTATTGCATTACCAAAAATATTTGCTCAGAACGCTTCCTAGGCGCGTTGTTCATCAAATATTGCCCGTTGATTAAAAGGGTTCACACCATGTGTAAATGACATTGGTGTTTAAGGATGTTACATTACTACGATAATTTAAACTTTAGGATATTATGCAATATCTCTATATACAAAAACCAATCGCAGTCCGTTAGTCTCGCTATAACTCAAAAACGGATCAACAGATTTTGATGAGATATTTTGTGTGTGTTTGAGTGGGTCCCTAGATGGTTTAGTTTTACAATTGGACCCGGTAGGTGGCGCTGTTGTGAATTTGGGCAGGTCACTATATAAATCGGAGCGGCTCTATGCGTGTTAAAATCCGTAACGATATCCGAACCAACGAATATACAAAAATAGGTACATACAAATGCAATAGATTTTTAATTCTTATTAGTTGAAGTGACGGTCGAATTAGACAGGCAGTGGCAAAGGTAATCTCTATATATATATACACATATATATATTCAAATAAATAAATTTGAAGTGTCTGTTCGTAACATCAAAATAACAGCTTTTCACTAAATGCATATGAAAGTATTTATGGTACTTATAACAAAAAAACAGTTTTAAAATTTTTGTCTGTCTGTCTGTCTGTTTGTTCCGGCTAATCTCCGAAACGGCTCGACCGATTTTGATGGGACTTTCACTGGCAGACAGCTGATGTTATAATGAGTAATATAGGCTACTTTTGTTTTAGAAAAAGAATTAGGGTTCCACGCAAAAAATTAAAAACCTAAATTACACGCGGGCGAAGTCGCGGGGAGCAGCTAGTATAATATTATAATCATAAGCAGTGGAATTCATCACCCCATTTTGTCCCGTGGGTTATAAATGTACTCTGTGACACTCACAGGCGATAATGGGATTTGTTAGAAAAATCTGACTTCCCATAGATTACGCTATACAATCTCGTTAACGCCCGACGTAATTTTCCAAAATGGCGACGGTCAGTATTGTCAAAGGTGCCAGACGTTTAATACTCACTTACAATTACAATATATTCACTTAAGTACCGATAAACACCGCCTGCCAAGCGTGCCTATTAAGGTGAACTCCGTAGACTTTTACGAGCTGATGATGACGAAGAAGAAGAACCAACGTAAAGCGTTCTTACAAGAATCCTTTGTTGGTCGTCGGTGACAGCGACCAGGTCGCGGCATCGATCAGCGGCGGCGGACAGCGCAGCGACCGCCCCGACTTGCGCACGCGCCGAAGCGGCTGCAGCGCGGGCTTGAAGGATCTCTGCACACCACGCCGTTGCACCCACCGTCTCCACCATTATCTGCAATTAATAGTAATATGATTGGATACAGTTTAGAAGTTAACGTTCATCTTTCTTAAATACTATCAAGGTCATGATAGAACAAATGATTATCATGATGTTATTACTATTGTAAAGATGAAATAAATAATAATGCAGTAATCGCCTTTATATTTTGTAGAATAATCTAACCGTGTATTGGCGGTGTCAGTATATCCACTACTCCATATTGTACCCTGAGGGTCGTAAGAGATGATATAGGGAAACAAACCGAAAGATAGGCAGCAGCGTCTTCTTAATAACAATCGAGATACAAATAAATAAAATTGAAGTTAAATACATATAAAAGTATGTATATACAGTACTCATAACAAAAACACAATTGTTTATTATCTGTCTGTATGTTTCGGCTAATCTCCGAAATGGCTGACCAATTTCGACGGGACTTTCACTGGCAGATAGCCGATGTTACAAGAAGTAATATAGGCTACTTTTATTTATAGAAAAATAATTAGGGTTCCGCGCAAAAATAATTAAAACCGTAAAGTAATAAATTCAACGCATACGAGGTCGCGGGGAACAGTTAGTTAAAAAATAAAAGAACTGCGGTTGCCAATAGGTCTGATAAGCGTGACACTATGGCAAATATCTCCCTCATGAGGCAATCTATGTTCAGCAGTAAGCTTTTGATAGGCTGTCCGTGTATCTGAATGTTATTCTGCGAGTGGATTTTTAATTATTGTGAATGCATTGTATGCATGTGTTTTTGAAAATAATAGAGCCACGCTGCAGCTATATTATTGTCGCAGCAAGAGTGGCTCAACAGGGGAAGGACCGCCCTCTAAAACAATACCAGCGTAAAATAGCAGCTTAGTGGTAGTGTTTCGTATGGTAAATGTGTAGAGAACTGGTGACCCCATTTATTGGTAACGAGGCATTCTATTTCTGTCTCCAGGGGTGATAACGTTTCCACATTTTGATTCGTAATGAAGGATAGATGTAGGTGTCTATAAGTCACAGTATTCACTTCCAATCAGGGGGGATTGTTCTCGTTTTATGTCACACTTGTGAACAGGTGCTACCTGTGGGGGAATGTCTGTAATAACTGTAACACATAGTCGAATGTGTTACGCATCGCTTTGGTGTGTCCTATGTTCGCGGTCGTATACACGGCCGGAACAGATTTGGCAGTCACCTCGAGTGCACAGAGCAATGTTCAGAGGTCACGCCAAAAATAGTTTAAATAAAATAAGGATATTTTATTTAAACTATTTTTTTAACTAGCTTTTTAACGGATTTCTTCTTTGTCGGCCCGGAAAAGTCCACTGTTGGACATAGGCCTCAGTTGGGTAGAGTAATATAAGATTAAATTCAAAATAATATTGTAAAAAAATGTATAATGATCTAATACGAAATTGACTAATTTAACATTTATTAGTATACTTAATATTCACTTGACAGAAAAATCCATATATTGAATCTTGAAGATGGCCCGAGTTAAGAGTACCCTTAACCAACGATCATGTATGTGTAGATGTACTATGGATGCGAAAGAAGCGAGAGAGATATGTCATGCCCATCTGGGTAACAGGCGTGTGAGTTCATGCATGTATATGTATACCTAAAATTTTCTATCAGTGAGGATATTTAATAGGCTTTGCTGTACCTATGAAGTACTATCTTTCTTAGTTATAGCTGTTGGTCTTCCAAATAAAGTAAAATTAAAAAAAAAATAACTGATTGTTGGTCCGACTCAGTATTTGAACCCAGATTACATGATCAGAAGCTGCGCTTGCAAACATTAAATCAACGATGCGGTCAATATGAAGTTTGCTTGTTCATTGTTTTTAATGTTAATGTAAGTAATATAAAATTTTGATCCTTATCCTTACATCATACAAACGATGACGATAAATCGATATATCGATATTTATCACGCGATATATATCGATACTGTTTGAAAATATTGATTCGATATAATATATCGATATATTTTGTCCCTTGGCCATCCCTCGACTAACATTAATTTATACAAAGGTACTCTGTGGTGACCAATGGCGGTTTGTCTTTGATGTTGGTACGGTCCGTACCGAGGTTCTACATCGTACCGCGTGGACACGAAATAAAAATAATTATTGTCGGCAGACTGCTCTCCACATGAACATAATGTGTACCGTACATATATGTCTATCGGCATTGTTTTAGAATGAAATATTAATTTTATTTTTAATGAAATAAAATTGGGTGTACCGCGACTATTTAAGCGAACAAACTTGCTTATTTATTAACTCATTGTCTTTTTATTCCAGAATGTTCTCCTAACTATGTTTAGTAGTTAGTATTTAATATTTATCATTATTGCAATGGATTTGTAGATATTATTTGCATTTTTTTATGGTCTTTATTAAGTCCGCTCTTTGTATCGCCTGATTGAGGTCATAACAACAAACTAAATAAATAAATAAAAGGTTAAAAAAGTCAGCAGGTTTTTTATGCTGATTTTTATGCTGTTATAAAAAATTCTTGATCAAATTTTGATTTCTTACGTTTAAAAATAACTATTTTATTTCGTTTCATTTCACATTAGCACAGAAAAAATAATAGTACTACGTATCAGATACAGTATCTCGGCAGAGAGTATTAAATTCCTTGAATTTCTTTCTTTTTCTTAAAACTTGTCAATTTTAATACGGATCAAATGATTTATGTTAATATTAAAATGACACCTAAGTAATAAAAAGTTAATATAATAAAATACAATTTTTTTTATTCAATATAGATTACAAGAATATTTATTGAAAGTCATTTAAGCTTTACCACTTAAGTTTAACTTTAAGTTTAAAAATAACTATTTTATTTCGTTTCATTTCACATTAGCACAGAAAAATAATAGTACTATGTATCAGATACAGTATCTCGGCAGAGAGTATTAAATTCCTTGAATTTCTTTTTTTTTCTTAAAACTTTTCATTTTTAATACGGATCAAATGATTTGTGTTAATATTAAAATGACACCTAAGTAATAAAAAGTTAATATAATAAAATACAATTTTTTTTATTCAATATAGATTACAAGAATATTTATTGAAAGTCATTTAAGCTTTACCACTTAAGTTTAACTTTAAGTTTAAAAATAACTATTTTATTTCGTTTCATTTCACATTAGCACAGAAAAATAATAGTACTATGTATCAGATACAGTATCTCGGCAGAGAGTATTAAATTCCTTGAATTTCTTTCTTTTTCTTAAAACTTGTCAATTTTAATACGGATCAAATGATTTGTGTTAATATTAAAATGACACCTAAGTAATAAAAAGTTCATATAATAAAATACAATTTTTTTTATTCAATATAGATTACAAGAATATTTATTGAAAGTCATTTAAGCTTTACCACTGATCGGAAAAAGCCTCTGTCTTGGGAGGAACCAGTAAGAATCCAAGCAGGACATTTTTAAACATTAATTTACAATATAATATTTTATATAGTTAATTATGAAGACATTTAGAAGCAGCATGGTATCGATTTCCTCATTACCCGATATATAAATATATATATAATTTTTTTTTTAATTAAAAAAAATAATATGGTCGATTTTTTAGATCCTGATAACGTACTTAACGGGAACCACAGGGTTTTTGTTACATATTGTATATATATATATATATATATATATATATATATATATATATATATATATATATATATATAAATAAATGAGTGATTGATATATTATCAATCATATAATCTTTAGTAGTATATAAACCCATATGAAACAATTTTTGCTTAATGTTTTCGATAGATAGGTCCTGCATATTTTCTGGGACTTAGTTGTAAAAGCATATTCATTGCCCCATGAAGGAATTACTGACTGTTTGGAGTTGAGTAACTGGCATAACTAGGTTGGGCTTGTTCCTAGTATTTACAGAATGTACATCACTAGTTTTAATAAAACTGTTTTAGTTTTTGTGTAAGAACCAACGTAAATTCATATGCCACTTATTAGTACAAAAGTTTCTTTTGTTTGTAAGTGGGTTAATACCGAGTACAAGTCCGGGGAAAAGGCTCTTTCAATTTTTGTATTACGGTAAAGAGTACAAAAGCCTGAAAACGTGTCTAAAATATTGTTGACAGCTCTGACATTTGAATAGAGCTGGCTTAAACGTCCTGACATTGTTATTTAACGTAGTATATTCACGTCCATTACGAAGTAATTTTAGTTACGGTGAATTATTTAAAGAAAATTTAGGGAAATCTAACAATTATTATTTAAATATGTGTTGTACTTAATATTATCATATTATATTATGTTATTTAGTTGCCTTAATTAAGATTGTGTATATGAATTATAAGTAATAACAAATTTATCACATAATATTAAATGTGTATGATTATCGCATTATCTTATATCCTATATACTAGCAATCAAATCCCCGGCTTCGCATGGATGATTTCTGGATCTCGACAACAGCGCCACCTACCGGTTCCAAACATAAATCGAAATCATCTAGTGACCCATTCAATACACACATAAAAAAACCATCAAAATCGGTAGACTGGTTTTTGAGCTTTAGCGAGACTAACGGACAGGTAATTGATTTGTATGTATGGAGATAGTTTATATGTATTAATCGCTGTTTAACGATAAAGCCACCTAATTGTACATATATATTTGTATCAAATTTAAATTTGTTATGTAGTTTTGGAATATGTATGCAATAAAGAGTATAAATAAAAAATCTTGCCGATATGAGCTTTATCAGCTCACTCATCCCATATGTACAGAAAACAGTAGTTTGGACATAGCGAAGGCTTTCGATCGGGTTTGGCACAAAGCGCTTCTTTCGAAGCTGCCTTCCTATGGGCTTCCCGAGAAATTGTGCAATTGGATCACCAGTTTTCTTGCAGATCGGAGCATCAAGGTCGTAGTAGACGGTGTATGCTCCGATTACAAGCCCATTAACGCTGGTGTTCAACAAGGCTCCGTGCTATCACCAACGCTGTTTCTTCTGCATATCA